TAAGTTTAAGTAGGTTGTGCGTTTCTAAAAATGTGTTCACCGCCTCTAGATTTTCAAATTTGTTGGAGTACAACTCTTCATAATATTCTGTTATTATCTGTTCTGTTTCTATTGTGACATCACCTATGTGGTTTCTTAAGCATGTTATTTGTGCCTTTTCCCTTTTTTTTTTTGTTAGGTTTGCTAATGGTTTGTCAATTTTATTAATCCTTTTGAAGAACCAGCTCCTTGTCTTGTTGATTCTTCTATAGTTTTTCTGTTTTCTATCTCATTTGTTTCTGCTCTAATCTTTATTATTTCTTTTCTTGCATTAACTGTAGGTTGGCTTTGCTGGTCTGTTTCTAGTTGTTGGAGATGTTGTGTTAATGTGCTGATTTTCATTCTTTCTTCTTTTGGGATGTGTGTATTTATTGCAACAAATTATCCTTTCAGCACTTCTTTTGCCATGTCCCAACAGAATGTTGTATTTTCATTCTCATTTGTTTCTAGGAACTTTGTGAATTCATGTTTTACTTCTTGTACAACCCAGTCACTTTTCAGCATGGTGTTATTCAGTTTCCATATATTTCTTTGGTCTTCCTATTGTTAATTTCTAATTTGATAGCATTGTGTTCTGAGAAGATGCTTTGTAGTGTTTTGATGATTGTAAATTTATGGAGGCTTGTTTTGTGGCCTAACACATGGTCTATTCTGGAGAATGTTCCATGTGCACTAGAAGAGAATATGTTTTGTTCTGTTGTTGGGTTGAATGCTCTGTACACATCTATGAGGTCGAGTTGGCTGACTGTTGTTTAGTTCCTCTGTGTTTTTTTCGAGTTTCTTTCTGGTTGTTCTTCTGCGAATGTGGTATATTAAAATCTGCCACTATTATTATAATTTTAAAATTCTTTCTTCAATCTATTAGAGTTTGCTTTATATATTTTGGTGTTCTTTCATTGGGAGAGTAGATATTTATTATGGTTATGTCATCTTGTTCAATTGGCCCTTTAATCGTGAGATGATCCCCACTTTTATATGTTATGCTGGATTTTGCCTTGTTGTTGTTGTTGTTATGTGCCGTGGAGTCGGTTCCGACTCATAGCGACCCTGC